GAATAAATCCTATCTAAAATGCAAAAAATATGATGAGTTTGTACTTGTGATTTATCATTCCATTCATATTTTTTAGATTTTCTTAAGAGGTGGTTCAAAAAAATTAATGAAGTCAATTTATTTTATTGATTAAATTAAAGGCAACACTTATTATTAGTATTACACCCCAACCAACCCAATTTGGTAGACACAAAATTTGTTAAAGGAAAAACTCGGTTGAAACATAAGGGTAGCACGCTTATTTACATCGACTTTAACATTACAGACCTGCATTTGTTTTATTCGTTCACTTGGTTCCGCGAATGTGAAATAGACATGTTTATAATCAACCAATTGTGAATTTCACCGTCAAGAATTAAAATAAAACCCAATGTTTTATATAATAAGCGGAAGTCGAAGCAATAAAATCGATGGTCGTTTTGTTTACAGTGTCTCTGTTTGACTCTCATGCACGGATGGGCTGTGACCGAATGGGCACAAAATTAATATATGAGAAGACATATAGAATATCAATGAATGATAATTCAGAAGGACGAGCCGACATAGATATCTATGTCGATGGTGCCAAAACAGATAGTGGTTCAGGAGCCGGCATCTACTCCGAACAACTGAACGCACAAATTAGTGTACCTCTCGGCACCCACACGTCTGTCTTACAAACAGAACTGATGGGAATAATGCTGGGAGCTAGAATCATTGCTGAACGTGAAATCGGCAACAAATCAATACGCATACTTACTGACAGCAAGTCTGCACTACTAGCCCTGGACAGCTGTATGGTTCGATCCGGGCTGGTTTGGGAGTGCAGACAAACGCTAAAGTATGTAACGCAGAGGAATAGTGTGGAACTTTGTTGGATCAAAGGACACAGTGGCAACGAAGGAAACGAGAGGGCAGATGAGATGGCGAAGCGAGCCGCGCGCATGCCCTTCTGGGGACCCGAACCGGCAATCACGCCTTCGGTCGCCCTCTCGAACGAACTCGTAAAGCAATATACCCAGAGACGCCATGAGCAGATATGGGTGAAGTTGAGCAGCTGTCGGCATAGTAGAGCTTGTATGGCGACACCAGACCGTAAGTTGACGAAATTTTATCTCTCACTTTCAAGGGACAAACTGCGTAAACTGGTAGGATTCCTTACGGGACATTACCAGTTTAACAAACATCTATATACGATAGGGGTGGTAACAGACCCAATCTGTCGTGGATGCAATGAAGAAGAGGAAACAGCTGAGCACATTCTTCGTGAGTGTCCAGCCCTAGCCTCCTACAGGGAATCCATACTAGGGGACATCTGGCCTAGTATGGCAAATATCAGGGAGTTTCCACCCTCTGCATTACTCAAGTACATTCAAGCAGTTGGGTGGCTTGACGAGTAGAGGAGCGGAAAACACCCTGATATGGACTTGGGGAAGGTACAATGGGCCCAAAGGCGAGGCCTAAGTGCCGGCTGGCCACGGTCAGCCCCCATAAATTAAGAATCCAGAATCCAGAGAGACTCTCATGCACGTATGCTGTTACGCTTGTCATCTTAAAGTAAGAATGTTTATACATAAACGATTTTCAGTTGCCGTATACGTGAGTAAATTGTTTCGTTATTTTATTGATTATAAAAAATCAATATTCAAAACGACCCAATTCATTTTCCCGAAAATTTGGGAATACAATAATTTTATTCTTAGTATTACACTACATCTATCCCAACTGATATACGTGTCCTTGCAAAAATGTTGATGACGTCATCGAAATTTTTTTTAAATTCCCACTACAAAAATGTAATGAGAAAAAAACACAATAGGCATGCAGTCGTCAAGTTTCCGACAGCGAGGGAAGTACTGTCTAAACTCTTTAGACCAATTTTTTATATAAATAGCCACAGAGAGTGTTAACGTCAGGTTCTGGGCAATCCTCATGAGATTCAATTACTCTGAAAAATGTTCAAGTCGTCCGCTACATGTAAACTTTTGATTTAAAACACTTAACAAATCTCATTAGTAAATATTAAAAGCATAAACGGCCCTAAGTTTGAGCCTTGGATAATCCAGCTAAATGTTACATAATTATAGACATGATTTAACACCACGATATTCCGCCTAATTCTTATAATCCAGACACCAAAAGTGTGCAGCTTATTTATTAAAAGTTGATGACTCACTAGATCAAACGCCTTACTGAAATCTGTATACATATATAACATCAACTTGATTTCTTTCATCAAGGGTATTTGATACAAACTGAGTAAAATTACAAAGATTTGAACTTGTGGAACGTCCGCTAACGAAACCACATTGTTCAGTGATACAGTGTTAGCTATATGATTGCATAATTTGAGTGTTACTACTATACTTTCGAGCATTTTCGCCAAGTTGGGAATTATAGCTGTGGCAGGATAGTTTGTTACATCAGATCTATTCCCGGACTTAAAACTGGACACGTTTTGGATATTTTCCATAATTCTGTTAAATATTACACATAGCGCGACCTCAAAACAGCTGATATAATCTTTTATAAGGAATGAGGGTAGTTGGTCACACATCCCCTAGTAAAACTGGGTTTAAGTTTTTTTTTAAGTTTTAACTAGCTTTGCGCACATAATTTACGGTAATTTCAAACATATGAAAACCGTTATTATCACAACTGACAAGGATCTCACATACAATATATTTCTAATATAATATAAAATTTCCGAGGATATCTGTCTAATAACAGATGCCAAACAACAGACCGACGACAGACGACAGACAAACAGACCAATTTTTTCATACTCTTAAATAATGAAACATCCAGAAAACGTGAAATTAGGAATTCGGCGGATGGATCTTATTGTTACAAAGTAAATATTTGTCCTTTTTAAAAACAATAAAGGATCTTATTTCTAGTTCATAAGATTCAAGTGGGTTAGGGCGTTAACTGTGCTAAATCCACATATCACCTTATTTACAAATTTGACTTTTTTTAATGACAAATAGAGAGCAATCAAATAAAAAACATCTTTATTTAATTACATTTCGATTGTCAAATGTTTTCTGAATTCCTTATATCTCACAATAATTTGAGGTGAGATCGACAATTTGAATAGTGACAATAATAGCCTACAATTAAACAGAGTTTCGCACGTGAAAATCCAATATTTTGAAAGATTGCTCATTTGTATTATTAAAATTAATTTACAGATTATTACCTACTTTCTTGGGGTTTCAGAGGTCACAACAGCAGCATATGAAAATCCACCACTCTGTAATAAAATTGAAAACATATTTTTTTATATTTCCCTGTGGGCGATTTTAAATATATGAGAAGAAACTGCCACACACACGCGGAATGTTACAAAGTAACGTATGAAGCGTACAAAATCTTTTAGATAAGATAATTAATTTATATTTTTACTTCCCGACTGGTTGCTTTCATATTTTCTCGATGGGTCATGACCCCAAGAGTACGAAAAAATGGGTCTGCCGTTTCTGCCAGTCTAACTGTCTGTAGGCCGTCCGTGTAGATTTTTGTTAAATAGATAATCTCCGAAACTACTGGACCGATTGTTGTCAAATTTTACCGAATAAATTCCACCTAAAATGTGCAAAATATGATGAGTCTATACTTGCGAAATATATTTTTTACATCTGCTTAACCGGAGTGATAGTAAAAATTTTATATACTATTTTCAGCACGTTTAATTTTAGGATGTCTTAAAATTTTGCGTACGCGCAATGATTTAGATCTGAATAACGGAAATGTTATTACTTTACCGTCACTGATATTCTGTTCAAATAGATTCGGAATTTTCGGTTTATAGTTACCAATTCCATTTTGCAATGCATCTCCTCTCCACAAACTAACGCAATCTTAATACATTAGTTGTGGCATGGAAGATATCGCATACGAAATGGAATTACTCGCACTGCTCAAACATCTCTAAATGTAACTTAAGGTAATTTTCAATATGCAACATATTTTTAATGTTTTATTTTAACATCATAAATGCAACGTAAGTACGTCACTACTTGTTCTGTTTGTAGATTACGAAATACAGTTTGCATGTTAAGCTGCACTTGAGATCTAAATCATTAGCTTGTGTAATTGCAACTGCTTAACACTGGAAGACATAAAAACGCAAAGGCAATGTTTCTCACGGATTTTAATATGTTTCATAAAGTTGGAAAATTATTGTTATATGTTTTACGGAGATTAAATTAATTGGAGTGTGGCATTTTTAATCATCTTTTCAAATTTCTTTATTTTGTACTTCCTGCACTGAGAATTGGAAATTTCTTTAATTTCTGCTATTTCATTTTTGTTTGCTTCTACATTCTTTACTAATTTTTCAGTTAAGCTAAATTGCTCATCTATCTTATTATTCGCTTTAATAATTCATTCATTGCTGCAGTTTTACCTTTGGTCTCGAAGGTATAAATCTTCAGAATTCTTTTCCAAGCTGCCTGTCAATATTCGTAAAAGCTATTATTAATCTTGAATCTCACCTCTGACACCAGTGTTATGTTTTACGGGAATTAAATTGGCGTGGGTCAAAACTCAATCAATAGTATTTATTGGTATTTTTTTCAGGTAGTTAAGAAGAGTTCTAGCGGCTAGCATTGGCTGGATAATCAAAATTTCATTTGAAAGTCCTTCTAACAGTTGTCAAAAGTTTTTAATTTTAATAATAACTTTATCAGTGTGGATTGGTCAATATTCTAACACACGTACTATGCTATGCTAACACGCAGCCTTTTTGTTTGATTTTTATAACAACTGCCGAGTTCCTATTTATTATAGTATGACACGCCTTGCTTGCTAATGCAGTCGTAAAATAAGTTGCTTAGCAAACTTAGTTTCAAAGCCGCATTCCTAAATACCACTTCATGTACATCATTACGTCTGAATATACCAAAAACATTTAAAAAAGTTGTATAGAAATACTACGAAACTTTTTATATTAAAGAAATGCTGTACTTATTTATTTTTTAAATATGTGTATAATTTTTTTTTTTTTGTTGTTGCAGACTGAAGAGTGATATGAAGACAACAGTGCAGTCAGCATTAAAAGCACAAGATTTTCAAGTTTGTTTAACCATTATAGAAGCAAGACAACTAGCCGGACTCAATATGGATCCAGTTGTTTGTATTCAAGTCGGGGACCAGAAAAAATACACCAGTGTTAAAGAAAGCACCAATTGTCCTTATTACAACGAAGTAAGTTCAACAACTCACTTAAAAATAATTAATAAACGTTTGAAAAAAAGGCAACTTTAAATTTAATCAAATCGGTCTAAAACCAACATGCTAAAAATTACTTCGTAAAACAACTTTAATAATTCAAATTTTGTGGAAAATGAAACATAGAAAAAATATTTGATTTCTACGCCGCAATTAAAACTGATAGAATTCAATTACGGTGGCCGCATTTAAATACTAGAGCTCATTTAATTTACTCGCACCCCAGAGTTCCATCGGTACAAAAAGCGTGTTTAATCCGTTTATTTTTAAACTGGAACAAACAAAGAACTCTGGCATCTACAATAACAAACGATTTTAATTAATTATTGACCAAACTTCCATTAGCTCCAAAACCCACTGATATTTGGAACACTGAGTAATTGTTGTCAATTCTTTTGTTGCAGTATTTCGTTTTTGACTTTCACATGCCTCCCATTATGTTGTTCGATAAAATCATCACGTTATCGGTAAGTCTGTTCATACATTGTTTCATACTTTTGTGTAGTTAAATAGAAATTTGTTCGACTGCATAAACACACATTGTCGGTTTACAAAATAAACGCAAAAAGTTTGGAACGAAATCAAATCCCACGAGCAATTTTTTCAACGACAAAAGCTTCAGTATTGGTTTAGCTTAAATATGTATCTGTTACGAATTGAATTGAAAAGTGAAATGAAAGGGATTCGGAGATTTACTTCGATATAGCAATGTTTTTCTGGTTATTTTGTCACACATATCGATATCTAGGGATTATTTGAATAATAAATCATCGGAGCAGACAGGAAAATTGTTTTCACCCAATCGTGGGTAAGGGAGTCGTGAATTATAGATTAATATCTTCACATTACCATTTTCAAAAAATTATGGAACCTTGGCCCAAGACAATAGCGACACCGTATTACGCTTATTTTATCCAATGTGTTAGGGAACAATGGCTTGGGAAAAATAGAAATATCGATTTTATGATTCTTCGAAAATTAGATAGTTTGGAGCTTGTATTTTTACTTCCACAATGCGAAAAATAAAAACGTCGACACGAATACGAATTTCTTAAATTTTCTAGTTTGATTTTATAAAGCTTATTGAAAAAATCTTCTGTTAGTCACAGTTGGTATTAACCTCGATTTTTCCTCAACCAAAACTGTTTTCGTACGACCTTTTCGTAGCAAATGCAAACATTCGAATTACTTGTGGGACAGGTAAATCCCACAGCTTAGAGAAAATGCTTTCACAGCTGCACCAGTCTTGATATTGCTATCACTGGTACATGAAAAATACAAATTTAGTTCTCGAATGCACGTCCGCAATTTCTCTCAAATATTTTACTGTTAACGTGACAGAAACGACCTAGGAAATTTCACGTCAAAGAGGATGCATCGAAGATTGGAATTCAACAAGATAATGAGGTTAGCTTTATGTACAAATCTCCGGAATGCGGTAATTCGGTTGGAGAGAACTTTTAGAGGTGAATATTTTCAGAAGAGTGTGTTTTTAACAACACAATTTTATGAGTCAAGAATTCCACTGTAGTTTCGCTTAATTATTTATAACTAGTTTTTATTTAATTAAGTTTCCATAGATTCCCCTGCTGATACATTAACATTATGATTCTTATGATTTACTAATAGCTTGTAATAAAATATCTCGTAGATTACATTCTCTAACAACATTTTTATTTTTTTTTTTAATTTAACTTTCAAAAAATTTTTAGGTCATTAATAAAATGTTGTACTTTGCACTTAGGTTAACGCAGGTTTATCATACCCTTGTGTGTACGTTACTTATTATGAGGAAAGTTTGCACACGTGTTATTTCAACTTCCAACACAACAATGTTAAAAATTGTCAATTTTAAAAACACATAAAATTCCCAGTGTTTGATAAAATTAACCCTTTTGACAAAATATGAAAGTATCACTTAGTCGTAAATATTTTAAATTAACCCGTAGTCCCAATTCCCATTTTCAATTTTCTGAAAGCGAAATAAATTTATAGCGTCATACTCGTAAATCAAGTCGGTTTAAATAATGTGCCACTGCGATGTAATCAAAATTTGTACCTTGAACGTTTAGATACAGTTGATTGAATATCTTGTGTGACACAAATGAATCTATATTTAAGCTAGAATTTTTTTATTTTAAATTTTAATATATTTAAATAAGAAATTTTCATCATTTCCCTGTTTATATATTGTAAACATGAGTAAATCAATATTTATACAAACTTCTATGTTTTTTCGCGAGATTTTTTGCTATGTAGAGGACAACCTGACATTTGTAATGAGGGGTTAACTGTAGAGGAAGTTAATATAAAACCTGAAGGAAATCAAAAGAAATTCTTAAGGAAGTCAAGTACGGCGACAGAAAGTAAGTTAGTGAAATCCGAGTTTTGAGGAAATTAGTTTAGTGTTTTATATTTATACACGTGAAAAAAATATATTTTTACTTCCCAAATGTAAATAACTTTTATGCTTTTTCGACGCTTCATGATCCCAAGAGTATGAAAAAATAGGTTTTCCGTTTCCGTCTGTCTGTTGTCTGTCTATTTCCTGTGTCGATTGTATCAGACAAATAATCTCCGAAACTTACTAGACTGATTGACGTGAAATTCTACACGGATTTTAGGAATAGAATTGTAGATGGTAACTCACAACTTAAATTTGTTTCATCATCTCCACCAATAAATAATTTATCGTCTCAAAATTTTGTATAGTAAATAATAATACTAATAATAATTGTTTATTTCTGGGACCCCCATTATATTACAAAAATACAAAGGTTAAGAATAATACAAAATACTAGAAAGAAGAAAGGAATTTTGAATGTTTTCCAGAGACATCAAATAGCTGGGTGATCAAAGCATAGTGGCATATTCTAGAATAGACCTTACCAAGGCACCAAAGACAAGCTTATGAGCATCGACAGAAAGACGAAATAATGATCTATTAATCAGACCTAACATTTTTGAAGATTTACTGAGAACATAATGAATATGTAAAACAAAGCTCAATTTTTGAACAAAAAAATGACCCCCATTTACATATTATTTATATTTTGTGTTAACTTTCATATCATTCCATAAATATAAGTTACAAACAAGAGTATCTTTGAAAAATGTGCAGAAAGGTTAATGTCGTTAATAAAGAGAAGACATAATAAAGGTCCACGATGGGTTCCTTGAGAGACTCCCAATTCCACAAATATGGTATTTGAAGACGAACGTCCAATTCTAACAACTGGGACCTATTTGCTATGAAACTTTTAATCCACTGGATAAACATCTTATGAAAATTCATAGCTTTTAGTTTCTGTACTAAAATTTTGTGGTTAACCCTATCAAAGGCTTTCGTGAAGTTTTCATAAAATAAATCGAGTCAACTTGTTTACCCCTTTCCAAAACATCATTTAAATAATTTGGCATTTTTAACTGTATGAAAATTAATTGACCAAGAAGCTAAGGTAAAACCGATTATATTTGAAATCAACTCTTTATCACCAGATTTATGGGTAATATCACCAGATGTATGTAAAGGAACAAGATGCGGAGACAAGTTGAATAAATAAGTAATCGGTTTGTTTTTTTTAATACTATTTAAATTTTATGAAATGACATACTTTTCTCCTGTGGTTTATGAATCCGTCTTAATTTTTACCTTACACAACCAGATTTTTGGTAAAAAATTTGTAATGGAAAAACTCATCTAAACAATCTTATAGCATTTTTTTAATCTATATAGGTAATAATCGAAACTATCCGAAGAGTTAGATAAAAACAAGAAATGGTTGCGTCTCATTTCACGTTAGGTTTATGTTATGCAGCAACTGTAATTCTCAGACTTGTTTTTATAACACAAACAGTATCAAAAACAAAAAATTTTCCTTATTTTGCTATTACCTACAGCTGTTACTTTTGTGTTTTACTTTTTGTACATTTTTCTTTAAATTTGTGCTTTTTAGTTAATTAGAACACGTTCAGAGTTAGAGTATATTTAGATTTCTTATAGTCCTTTTAAAAACAGTCAGTGAAAAATAAATATCACTCAATATTTTTACAATATCCAGGACTAACTGTGGATACAAAAAAATCACATTTGTTTCTAAAAATACTATTCTTAAAAAAAATGGTCTAAGTCTAATGTATTAGATACCACATTCCTCTTTCCTGAAGTTATCAAACAAATCTGGCTTGCTAGAACAAAAAAAAATAGATAAAAACCAGTCACAGTGTAAGAAAAAAATTGAGCCATGAGGGGATGGAACCTGTGACCTTCCGTTATTAACACGACGCTTTAACCTACTAAACTCGCCGCTCCTCCCTTATATTATTGATTAAGTAGCATTTATCATGCAAAATTTTGAGGTAGCGTCATGAAATTGTCGGTGGGGATGATCAGACAAATTTTAGTTAGTGTTTTACTATCTACACAATATTAGAATCCGTATAAAAAAGTTCAACACAATTGTAAATCTAGGCAGGAGTAAAATATGCATCAAATCAAGTTAACTTTTAAATTTTAGGGATGGGTGCACCCTCAGAGGCGCCAGTCATCGTTTCATATTTAGAGTGCACTTTTCTATCTATAGGGATTTCCAGTTTAATAATTTATTCATTTGCATTCGTCCTGGCGTGTTGACAAATTTACTACCGCTGTGGTAATGGGAGATCGTATTATGTGCTAAAGAAGAAGAGAAACTAAACAATAAAAAAATATAACAAAAATAAACAAAATCAAAGTAGAGTCGTAAACCACAAGTACAGGAGTATATTATTTTATATAATATATAATGGGCGGACATCATCAAATTGTTCAAAATCATATAAAATTTGACGACAATCGATCCAATAGTTTCGGATAATATACGTATTTGTCTAATAAAAATCGACACTGACGACAACAAATAGACGGAAACGGGATACTCTAGGGGTCATAAAACGTCGAGAAGATATGAAAGTAGCCAATCGTCCGATGGACCCTATAACAAAATTTCCTTCGCTTACACTCAGATAGTAACAAAACTGGTCGAATGTTATTTCGACAGAACTTCCCTCGCTCCTCAAGTACAGTGAAGTATATCCAGCATTTTCGAGTTGAGTTTTATCTTTACACAATTTTGTAGCCCTCAGTATAGTAACGTAAAATTTACAAAAGTTCTCCTCTCAAAGTGTTAAAAGATTAGAATGATTTCTATCTTCCATCGGACGAATGACTACACCCTCATGTATTCTCGACTTGTTATAACCCTTAGAGTACCAAAAAATAAGTCTCATGTTTCCGTGTGTCTGTTTGACTGTCTGTCGGTCTGTTCGCCGTCTATGCCTATCTAATCATCCTACTAATAATGTGATGACATCACTTCAAAAGGGTACACAGCAGTAAATGTGCTTTGAATTTTACAAAATAGCATACTCCTACGTGTAGTTTATGAATCTGTGTTGATTTTTTGACCGAAACATCCAAATTTTCCAA